GATCGAGCAATAATAATAGTGTTTTTCAAATTACTGTGATCAGCAAATTTCATGTATCACACCGGGAATCGGGAATCCGGAAAAAATGCCAGTATATAATTGAAAATTATTTGATTGATTTTTTAGCATACTGGCATTTTTCTAGATTCCTGATTCCCGGTGTGATATGAAATTTGCTGATCAGTACGTATTAGTAATTTGAAAAAAGCACGATAAATCTATTAGGGTAATATCTATATATGAAGAATCATTAATTTCGGATTTTTTATAAGCCGCATATTTTAAAAAAATTTTGTAAAATAATTAAATACTGTAATTAATATTAATTGATTGATTTTAATAAACTATTAAAAAGTAGTTCTATTATTGTGTAGAGCTAGTTGTGAGCTTCAAGTTAAAAAAAAAAAATAATATATATATATATATACACTTTGTTAGATACATGTGTGAATTTAAATTGATTTTTATTTTTTTAGTATAAATCGTCGAAAATTTGATTAAATATAATATCGAAATTTTAACCATTATGAAATCCGAGATTAATGATATTTGATTTAATTAGTTTAGGCCGCACCCTAACGGTTCGTACGTACGTTCCAGCCCGTTCGATGTTATGATCATACTTTACAAGTCGTAATTGAATTCGAGATTGTTGCGCTTACGTAGTAACATACAAAACATAATTTACGATCATGTTATATTCTATTCGAAAATTTGAAATATTTATCATCTTTGATAATAAGTTGCAGCATTAACTGAATGGTTTTTAAATTCAGGACCTAATACATAAGGCTCCAGCCCTATGAAATGCCACCGTTTATTACTAGTATTATATTGTACACAGTTTTAATATATGTATTTTACAGGAGTTTGGCTATTATTATTACATATTACAAAATAATAATAGTACAGTAATGATGATAATGATAACGACAATAATTTCTACTCAAATTTCAATTATTGTTATAAGTTAAAAATACTGTATATTTTAGAGCTTATGGTATCAACTCTACTTGACATTTGTTTCAACAGACAATGAATAAAGAAATAGTATAATTTCATCATACCCAAAACTGACATGAAATCTAAGTTATTACATTTTTCAACACCATGTAAAAAACGGAGTATTCCCGCTCACGATTTCCAATCTTTCAACAAGAACTTTTTTGGTTTTTTTACTATCCATTGAAGCCTTACTTTTTTTGCCGACATTATCAAGATTAAGTTTTTCTTTAACACGATTAATTCTCTCACTCCATTTGTGCTTTGAAGTATTTGATTGATACGAGGAAGCAGGTGCACTAGTAGATAAAGAAGACAGTCGTGCAGAAGAATTGTCTTCTTCTGATAAGCTTCTTCTTGAAGCTATAGGTACACCATCAACTCCCGAAGAAGGGTGTTCCACCTCCTCTTCCTCAATCCTATTAGATTCACTATGATCTCTATTAGCGACGTCACTTGGACATTCAGGAATCTCAATAACTTCCAACTCATCCCAAACCACGACATTACGGCGTGTACAAAGGTGCTTAATACCTTTATCACTCTGAACAAGGGTTTCTACAATATTCCACCCTTGACCTTTCAATACCGCAATTTGTTTTGCAAACATACCGTTATCAAAGTCCGCATCCCTACGGAAATAATGTCGTAATTCAGATACAGTTTTTTTCCACCAAATTGGATCTGTAAGCAACGGAAGAAAATGATTTCTTGTATTAGTAGTGAAAGGTTGCCCTATGAGAGCATCAGGGAGGGACAGCCATCCGTACGGATATGATCTCCACTGATCAGGATGTTTAAAAGGGAATGCTAATCCATTATCGATAGCTGCAACATGAATGTGTGGATATGGTATATTACATGATTTTGCATCAATATTGTCGGTATTATTCAAAATAGAAGATGTAGACTGAGGAGGCTCAGTTGTTGTTGACTTAGAAGGTAGTACTGATTGATCAGAGTCAAGATAATTTGTCGAAAGAGGATGCTGAATTTCATCGGTAGAATTTACAGAAGGTAACATTGTTACTGAATTAGGACTTTTTAAAGACGTTGAAGAATGTGTAGAATGATTTGAAAAAGCATCTGGTGTTTTCATAGCTTTTGATTTTGGAGGGGTAGTTATCGCACAATCATTTTCATCTTTATCACAATATTTGATCATCCAATTATCTGATCCTCGATCTGAGGGGTAATTATATAAGTCAAATGATTAAATATAACAAAAGAAATTTAAATTAAGATATATTACCAGTATTTCTCATTAAATAATCCAAAATGACTAATTTTTCAAATTGCTCCCTGAATTGAAGTTGCAATTCCGGAGTCCAAGAAAAACGTTTGCCAAGTGGAGAAGATTCATATAAATCATTTTCATCATCTATCGTACTAGATTTTCCACACGTAAATGGACTTAAAGATTTATTATGCCGTTCACTACCCGTTATATCATTCACAGGACCATTACTTTCTGGCCATGGATGTTCTCTCAAAAATATGCTAGCATCTTTGAAACCTTCCAAGTATACTTGGAAGCTACCAATTTTTTCGGGCAAAGGTTTTGGATTTTTATTTGAACGAGCAGCACGACGATCCAAATAATCATAATGAAATGATGGGGAAGATAGCCAAACGACTTCAGTGAGAGGAACGATATTCAAGTCTAAACGACGATCAAGAAGAGAAGCAGCAGCTTCTGAAACGTAACCAAGATTTGGAATTAAGCTTATAGGAAAAAAGTGAATGAAAAATGAAAGCCATTTCTGATTAATAATTTAACGAGTGATTTAAGAAAAATTCAAGATAAAGATTCATACCAACTTCTTCCAAAAAAGCAAGGAAACAAATTTCGATGAATCCATTTTGTCCATTTAGGATTAAGACGACCATAGGGTTCTTCGTTTTTCGGCTTGAAAACACCAACAATTTTTCCATCTGTATTACGACAGAAATAAGATCCGGAAGAACCCTGACTGATTCTAGTTGGTTGAATATTTGAATATATAGCGGCTTTTACAGAATTAACAATTTCGTTGAATAATTCAGGCGTAAGAGGTGGATTATGATTTGCAGTCAACGGAGGAGAACTAGGCTGTTCATTGGGAATTTATCAACAAAAAGTTCAATTACAATAATAAAATTTGAATAAAGAGTTGATACGCACTAACTTATTAATAAATATACCTGAATATTTTCTAAACTAAGTTGCCTGAAAACAGATTTATAAAGTTCTAGTTCTTTATTATGTACCCCCCTAGTAGACCCTTTAAATTTTAACTTTTTTGAAAATTGAGACCAAGCACTGCTGCGACGACTATTGGAACTATCATCGTGAATTTCTTCACTGTTCCTTCTACTTTCAGGCTCGTTACTTTGATTGTTTTCCATTGTGGAGCTTTGAGGAAAAGGCTTATTCAGAGGTTGTCTGGTTTCCGATAAAGCACGCCTTTGATAACGTGGCCTAGAATATATGAAATCGGTATTTCGATCATAAATGGATCGAGCAGTATCGAACAAGTAATCGTCTTGGTCGAAAAAGTCCTCTTGCTGAAGCTTAACGTAACCAGACAAGGGATTATTATTATTTGACCTAATCATGTGTAAAAAAATTGGATAAAGATATATGTAAAATATGTAAAGGGGGATGAGAGTAGCTTAAAGACTGAATAACGATATAGCGATTATTTCAACAGCCACTAAAAACAATACTGTAGGCAGAAAACTATTGAACATACCGACAAAGATACTCAACGAACAAAATTAAAATGTTAAGTACCAGAAACGGTAATTTTTGATTTGCATTAGATGCAGGGACGCATACTGATACTTTTATAGAATTGATTAACGTCAATAAACGTCAGAAAGCTCAGAAAGCATATCTAATATTGATTTCACAACTGCTACGGACCGAATTATTCCGAAAATTGTTTTAAGAACAATCAAAAATTTTTGCAATGTAAACAAAAACAGATAAGAAGCCCACGTGGCTTCAAAGGGCTTGTAAGCTCCTAATGTTGTTACTTCATATTCACGTGAAAACGCGATGCTCATTGTTCTTAATATTAAAGCTAAAGCTAAAAAATGAATCTTTTAACTACCAATTAGCGTTAGTATTTCTTTGTTAGGGATTTGTTTAAAGCAAATCATTATGTATCTTGAGTTACAAGATTTTCTAACCTCATTACCTATATATAGAATCTTAAATACTTTGTGTTCTTTGTATTTTACGTTAAATGCAGGCTGTCACTAATACATACAATACGATTAAATTTGGAAATCGATCCTTTAAATATACGTATCTCGAAATCTAATTGACGTTCGATAATCTTTATACACATAATAAAGATTATGAAGTCAATTATGTATTTTTAAAAAATTCTTTTTACCACTAAAACAAGGTTGTAGTCTCAGAATTCACTAAGAGCTAGAAGTTGATAAACAGGTTTGTTATAACTCAAATTTAATTTATAAGGGAACCATGGGTATTATGGCGCACTTAACGATTGCTAATAGTAAAAATATTTGAAAAAAGCATATTTATT